ACAATTTGAGCTCGAATAAAATTGCATTTACATAGGGGGGGGGGGGAAGATCGCGACAATTTCAAGGTACTTGCACCGCGTCGTATGTCTTCACCGTTCTATCTGCTTCCCACGTACGCATGAGTTTCTCTCTAATTTAATACGAGTCACTCCAATTATAGTCGTGCCCACTAGCCGCGAAACTCGCGAAACAAAATTGCCATGATACCCGGAATTTATGAATGGACCGACGACGTACCTAGTTTCGCGCTCATTAAGAAATTTCCGCGAAGCGTCCAAGGAGCGAGAGAGAAAGAGAAAAAGAGAGGGAAGGAGATACAAAAGCTTGAATTAGGCGCGATGTTGCGCGTCGCTGAGTGATTCGTTGCATCTGTCGCTTTTCCTATACATCAACAGCGGGACAAAACAAATGGGGACATTTATCAAAGAATGTAAGCAATTCGATGATTTTGCGCTCGCCAACTGCGAGCGGGCGCGAGAGCGCGCAGTAATTTCGATGCCACTCAAAATAAAATTCAGCGAAATTCTAGCTAAGAAACTGGCCGTCCTAGGATCCAGATTTACACAGAGTCATCGTCGCGTTTTATTCATAGGCACCGACAGGTGCCCAGAATATCGCCGCCTATTTCGCATCATACACCCTGTATGAGCGAGCGCGACAGCTGCGCGAGGCTATTGCGCGCGTCCACATTTTGTTGAATGTAATCACGCGACATGCGTGCGACGCGACAAACGCGGAATCCGTGAATGAAAGACCGCGCTCGGACGATATCGACACGGATTTAATAATTGGTTGGCAGGCGTAAATATATTTTGCACGGGCGCGCGTATATCGCTACGACGATTGTTGCATCGTTCTCACTCGATCTCGATCGCGGAAGCGGGACGCGCCAGATGCAGGAATCGCACGAGTATGTGTTCACAAAAACCGTGATCGCGGCATTGACCGCAAAAGAGAGAAGTGCCTTTTATCCTCTTCGTATCTTCTCTCGCGTTAAAATGCCTCGCTTGAATTTTACAAAGAGAGACACCTGCGTGCGGTATCTCAGGGCATTTCGAAGAAAAGAGGAAACACGGCTGATTGAAGCAGATGCGAAGAGGTGTACTAATGGAGGCTGAGAGAGACTAAAGTAACATTAAAATCCCAAGTAGCGTCCGAGACGGTAATGTACGGTGTAAAGGTTACAAAGCGATTAATTTATCATGATGATTTAATATTCTTATCACCGCCAGACGTGATTTTAAGCGCTTATTAATGTCTCCGCCATTCGCGAATGCTTCGTCTTTACGTTATTTCGCCGTGTAATAATAATAGTTCGCGGGGTTTGGATTGTCTGAGATATATTAACGCGCGGACAAGCTGGCGCCAGACATCGCGTAATACACGCCGGGATTATCTCCAGATTGTGTCTTAATATCACGTAAAAATATAAAATTGACTCTCGCAACAGCTTTTCCCCGGCCAAAGGCTAAGACACACTTGCATCAGTGACATCCAATTACATGTGATAACATATTTTCGTAAGAATACGATATCGCAGGCGCGAGACATGTATCGCTAGCGCGCGATACATGTTGTTAACGAAGCGAGCAGCACTATTATATAATGCTGGAGTTTCGCGAGTGTTGCGACCGTTGATTATATTGAAATGTCGACAACGAACTAATCTCCGCGGCATTGCCATTTACATTTTACATCAACCGATCGATCACGTTTGGCGATCACGCTCAAAGCGATAATTAACGTAATCGCCAGTACATAGAAATAATTATCTGAAGGCTTTGACAATAAACGTCGCTATAAATCATTCGCTTGCGGTGACACTCGCGTGAATACCCGAGCGTTTGCCCCGGGTATGTCGAGAGGCAATATCGAATGCAAGACTTGCAACAGGTCGACGTAAGGTTGGGTCAGTTAAGCTTACTTAGGTCACGTCACGATGATTGCTAGGCCGGCTGCTCGATGGTAGTCGCTATCTGTTACATAGAAGGCGAAATAAACCCCGCGAATGACTGTCGCTCACGCTATATCCACCTGTTGAGCACCGCTTATGTCGTTTTTCCTATTGCTGTCACCTATCGCGATTACCATCGACAACTTTTCATCCACGATCGAATAATGCGCGTGAAGAAGTCGAGGAAAAAAGCAACATTTTGCAGTCAGTGCAAGTTTTCACGTAATTGAAAAGATGTTTGCTTTATTTATGTTCGAAGATGCTCGCGGAATAGAGAAAATAAAACTGGCGCGATATATTAATTAACTTCGTACGTTTGTGCGAAAATTTCCGCGTTCCAGCAATATTTAATTAGTAGAGAGCACGCACATTAATTTTGAAACTGCATTAAATGTGGTTAAGTTGTTCTAGCGCGACTGCAAGTCCAGCGCGCGCGTTTAGATATTTTTCAAAATTGTGCATTTAATTGTATATTTCTATCTTTTCTTCACATTGCCGGAAGTTATTATCGCGATTTATTATCCTATTCATTCGCGAGAACTGCAATACGATTCTCTTTTTTAAAAAGACGGTTTCTTCGGAAGCATGGGCTCGGCTTCTCCCTAATGTGTCCTGACGATGAATGGATTCGAGAGATATATGATAATAGGTCGCGTCGTTTTCAACTGCGCGAAGATGGGATTCGCAGAATACTCGCGAATTATTCCGTGGAATAATAACTTCCACGAAGCGAGGCGGAGTCATGAATCGCCGCATAGTTTCCATTCATGGCGCGGCCTTTGAATCAAGATCTCTGCCGATGTTGCGTTCAATAGCGGCGGTTGAGTCATTTCCGATAAGATAGACGGATTTCTAGGAGAAACAACGCCAGAGAGGAGGAGAGCTCGCGGATTATTTGGCGCCCGATAACGCGCGAGAATGCGAGAAAACGCGATGGCGTTACTCTTTGCGAAACATAGCCTTGATAGCGCGCGCGGGCATCGTTCATTTCCTACTATATATATAGCACTGCAATTGGAGCGTATTATTATTTCCGAGAACATTTGTTCCAAGTCTAGCATTTGCGTTTACGTTAGTATACGAATTTCGATAAATGTTGACGAATTTATTTGCACGATATGTGCACGGTTGCATATTTGCACGTACGGATGCACCGATGCAAAAAATTTCGATTACATCGAGGATCTGCGATTTCGTATGCGGGCCAAATATCCTGTCGCGTTTCACCGATAATTCAACGCTCATTATCATTCATATTCCACCGCGGAATGCTATTATAATTGCTCGTAACGGTAAACGTGCGCTAATGATTTATCACGACAAAATGATGAAGCGCGGATGAAGCTTATCTTGAATTATTATTTTTCTTCGACTCATACGCTTAATAGAGATCTCCTACGCGGACCCAGCCCCCGGTTCTCTAAATAAATGCCACGTTGCCTCGTCGCCCATCAGCGTACACACGTGCTATTAGACACGTGATGGCTTTCTAATGGCTCGTTTAATCTCGCATTCATTTGAGATTCAACGATCGCTCGAATCTCTCCGCGACCGTAATACGGCGGTGCCCTTTATCGTTGCGCAACCGTAATGTCGAAGTTGCAAGGCGCATAAACGCAGAGAGGGAGGGAAATGAGGGAGGTAGTATTACGGATTACCGCCCACTATGATCTCATTAAATCGCGTTGCGTGGAAAATTGCGTGGAATCGATCGTATTCTCTCTCTGCGATCGATCATCGCACAGGCGATAAATTATCGGCGTGCTTGGCGAGTCGGATTTTCGCCGAGCGCCACGCGATCGTGAACAATAATTAATTAAACGAACGTGCACAAACGCGACTAATTTGGATTATGCTACACCGGCTGGCCGTTTCGCCAACAGCGATTTGGAGAATCCATTTCTGCGGTCGACGTGCGATTCCATGTCTGTGAATAACGCGTCATTTGAAAAAAAAAAAAAATAAATAAGAGCATGGTCGAATCGAGTATAGCACATTTTGTTCCGTCAAAATTATTTTCTCGTTTTCTCAGAAAAGCAAGGTAACATGCGCGTGTACGTCAGCACTGAACTCACGACAAGCAAATAATTTATAATTTGCAAACTAAAATTTGCGACTTCGATGTGGCAGCGTTAAATTTTACGCTTGATTCATCGAAAGATGTTATAAATCAAGCAAAGAACGTAGACAGACATGAGTGAATGGACATGGGGATAAACATGAATGACGCTGCGATCCTAAATTTACATCTTTCTGCAAAGATGACTGATTCGCACAAACATTTGGACTTAGCAAGCCCACGGATCCGAGCTCAATACTTTGTGGATGCTAACATCATTCTATATCTATATATTATACATACTTTTGTGGACGATAGTGCGACAGACAAGAAAAGTGGAAGCAAAATACAACTTAATTTAAGAATAACAAGAATAATAAAAAATAGATTTACACATATACATGTTTGATATAGATAAAGCAAAGTAGCGAAAAAAGCTATATAGAGTTCATTTGTATCTTTTAATTAACAAAAAATACATCAACGAATCCTTCCTTGTCAGTACATCAAAGCAAAAGCCCACATTCATTCGGAATAGTTGCTTGGTCTGCTTTGCCTTAATACACATCTAATGTCGGTATTAGAATTGCACGACGAGACGCGAGGCAGTCGCATTTAGCGAGAATACGAACATTTGGCACGCGGCAACGAGCGCGTTGCACCGCCAGCGACGTCTCGTCTCGATGCTCTTTGTCAGTAGGTATATCATTTATCCCGGGCCTGTATCTCGTTGCGAAATTACCCGGAAAACGACGAGGTATTATGACGTTTCTCGTGACAACTTGAATCCAATCGCCGATGAGAGACTTGTGAGTTGTACGAAGTCGCGGTTCAAAAGCGTGGCGGCTCCGTGATGCAATAATAAACTGCGGCGGCGGATCTCGACGAGACACGGCAAAGGGCTGCGGGTCACGTAGGATATACACACCGTGACCGTTCTTCTCCTCCAGCGAGCCGGCTGGCATCAGGTTGTTGATTCATCGATCGTCCCGAGCGGTGATATTCCCCGTGACATTTAAACTATCCAGCCGGCCACGCTCGCTCGATCTCTCTCCGGAACGCTAATGCAACTGTTATCTAACAGCGAACCACATGAGTATTGTACGTAGTATAATGATACGTAGTGTGTAATTATTTAACTGGTTTATATTTTATATCGCAAAACGCACGTAGTATTCCTCGCGCCGAGACCATCAAATCACGGTTTCTATGCAACATATTGATGCATACATTTTATATTTATATATATGCATGTTTCATAATTTTCACCGCTCCAGTTTTCAGTTGTAGAAATTTTAATTTATAATTTTGTTTAATTTAAGAATGCGATAAGTTTTGATTGCAGATTGACGAGCTCTGACAATATGTTTAATTGCGATTGATACAATTAATTATGAATGTCGTATTACTTTTATTGTTCGGGAGGATACTGCGAACGCCACATTTACCTCACAATTACCTTGATTGAGCATGCACTACCGTCGCACGGCGGTCGATCGTTGTCTGGCGGTAAACGACGTGTCACAGTGACGAATCAGGAACGACGGGATACCGCGGCTTGGCAGATTGACCATTGACGCATGTGCCGATCTGCGAATGTATGCATTTGTATTATATACCTTCCTCCCACGTAAAGAGACCGTGTGGACAGACGGAGGGAATACGTACGTGAGGTTACGAGGTTGACCATGCGACGCCGTCCCGACGTTACCGCACGTGCGAGCGTGGTCGAGCGACGACGCTACTCTAATTCGAGATGATTTCATGGCCGCTTTAATGTTTCGTCTATTTATTCCTCTCAAGGCTGCTCCGCCGGTGAATTATGTCGCATGCGCGTTACGGAGGTGCACATTTACGGTACACCGTCGTCCCACGAATTAATCTTGCGTTCACACACATATAGCACCACTATCTTTATTTATAACATATGTATATGCAAAATTACCCTGTGATAATTTATTAATTTCCTTTTCAAAATCACGATGAATAAACGCAAGAGTCTACGGAATAACGAGATAGTTTCAAAGAGATTGACGTTGACATTAATGGCTTTTAAAATAATTTTCGAACAGCATCAATGGCAATATCTCGGTTGTGTGCATATGTGAAAATCATTATGCGAGCGCGCGAGGCGAGAGATGCGATAAAAGTGCATGTGCGTCGCTGCGTGAGATTGTGCGTGCGCGAAAGGCCGATCGCGAGAGATTCATTCGCGCGTAAGGGAGGGCGAGAGGTCGCTCGCATATGTGAGAGGGTGAGAGATCGCTGGCGTGTATTACTTCCAGTTCGATAAGCATACGAACGGCCGCAAGGGTGATGCAGGCGAGGATGTCGTGTGTGACGTGAGCAGGTGATAAAAATTTAATTAATATTAATCAAAAACATTTAGTTAATTGGATTTCTAATGTAATTTTACACGCGACGTTAATTTCTCGAATCGAATCCTATAATAAGTTCACGTACAGGAGCTTATTTGAAAAATAAGAACTGTACTTAGAAGTATATATGAATCTGATAAGGTAAGATGAAATTTTTTAGAAATTTGATACACGAATTGGTGATCATATTAAATGGAAATAGTGGAATCATAAATATATGATATTTTCTTCTGGAGAGAGAAAAGAAATTCTTGATGTTATTATAGAAGATATTTCCGCAAAGAAAAATATATTGTTTAAGTGCCAGCCATTATGTGTCGAGGGAAAGCTCTTCGATTTACCTTGCGCAACATGCCCTAGCGTAACCGCAGCCGCCGCAGACGACGATATCGTAACTCGGACTCTAGACTAGCCATTCTGCAGACGCACCAGGAGGGCATCGCGGTGTTCTGGTGTGCGTGTCTTTGCGAAAGTGTTCGCGGGGTAACAGAGAATTGCGTTCGTGCTATTTCCAATCTGCGAGACGAGAGAACGTGATGCGCGAAAAGAGAAAATGAAGAAAGAGAAGAATCTATTTATTTTGGAGCAAGTTTTGTCAGAGAAAGAATAAGCAAAATTAACGATAATAGAATAAGAGATTCGTATATGTATAATAAAAAAAAAATATATGAACTCTTTCTTTTTCTCTTAAGAGAAAATGAAGAACTGAGTATGAAACGAAGAAAGGCTTTTATTAAAACCTTTGTGCAAAATTTATTAATTTTGTACAAGTTTTATTAATCTTAGATATTTCTTTTGCACCGAAAGAATAATTATAGGCGCATAATATTTCAAGGAAATAAAATAATTAAAAATACATACTGCGAATATCCGCAAATGACATTAAAATCTTATCGACCATGGAATAAAAAAGTAAATAATTTAAATAAAGATAAATAAAATTAGCCCATAGGGTGTAACGATGTAACTTGCAAAATAGTAGGATCAGTGTCTAACCCAATCATGGTTCGTTTCTAAAGCCTGGAATTTAAAGTGCGCTGCGGCGAATAATTGAAAAGCGTCTCCGTTGCGTGTGAGAGCGAGCGAGAAAACGGGCGACCGCGGGAACGAGACGCCGTATTGGAGAGAAAGAAGAGGGAGGGTCATAGATTCGATGGGTAGAAGCTCAAGGAGGGACCCAGGAGGCCCGACAGGCTGACGCCAGGAACCTCGCCGAGCGAGACGGCCGGCGCCCCGCGTCGGCGTTGTGCCTGCGTGTCGCGTTCCATGCGCGCGTAAGCGTGCTGTCGTATGCGTGTGCACGTCACTAACCGTGCGCATATAAATACACGCGCGTCTGTAGCGGCTTGTGCTTCTCCTCTTCTTCTCCGTTACACATTCGTCCCTCGTGTCCTCCTCCTCTTCGCTCCACGAGAATGTGGTTATTCGGCGTCATCTGGATTCCGGTGTGAATCATAACGCTCTCTCGGGCTGTTCAATTTAAGAGAGCCGCTCGAAATTGAATCACGCGCATACGACGTGACAGGAGTGCGACGAGAACGTTATTCGAAATTTTGGGCGAATTTATTAAGATATATAATATGTGTGTAGAAATTTTTAAAGCTGTATAATATAGAAATCTATTAATTTGCTACGATGTATATTTTGCAACGTTTTTCAATATTAAACTTGTGCCGCGCTGAGATGTCTTAATGAGATCCGCTACCTCTCACCGGTGATCGAAGATCGCTCGAGGAGAGAACGAACATCGTCTGAATGTGAACGTGATTCATGCCAGCGGCGCCGACTAAGAGATCGATCGACGGCGAGATCGTCTGGTACAATACAATGCGTACTGTCATGAAACGCAATTACAGCGCGAGCGATGCCTCGGTTACGCAGAAACGACGGAAATGCGTCGTGGTTTGTTTAATCAAACGTAGTCACACGTATTCTGAATTCTAAATGCAGTTCAAGCGCGGATATAGTTTCAAATTTGTCTTATGTCAAGAGAAAAAAGCATTAGCGAAGCGCGTCAACTATAAGATAGACAAATAATATTGTCTATCTACTCTATCTTATAGTTGACGCGCAGAAGGCCGCGCTGTTATGTAAATTCTAATTACATCTGTCACCGTTCGGTTAACGCGAGTTAACGTAAAGTATAAATAAGTTTTACAAATCGCGACGATGCATCGGACGCAAATAAATTACGATCTTGAAAGCAGCGGCGGCAAAAACACTCTTTTTTTCTTTGTCCCAGCAAGGACGTTTCGTCAGATTTCTCCATCGTCGACAGTTTCGCAGAAGGAGAAGAGCGGGTGGAAACGAGGTTGCGATAACCAGGAGGACCAGGGTCATCTCACGTTCACCTCGTAACGCTCACGTTTGACCGAATTCTAGTCGCGGATCTCCCTGGTTGCTTTCACGGAGAGTAGAGCCTGTTTTTGTCGTGCGCTTAATTTGATTTACCGAAGGATGTTCCGGCGACGTCTTTGCGATATTTCCTCTCCGTCGCAACTGTCTTTTGAACATTGTATTGCAGGAAGATTAGTTTTTTCCGGAAAATCGAGAACGTTGTTGACTACATTGGTTTTTTTTTTTTTTTACGATAATTAAGAGAAATGGGTCAATTATTGGAAAATACAAAAAAGAGAGAAGAATAATATTGGAGAGCTGTTGCAAATAGCGATAAAAATATCGTCTAAAAACGATTTGCGCATCAGTTGCATAAAAATTTATGAAGATGGTACAACCATGGGATATCATGTCTCTGACGTTAATAAGCTTCGTGATAGACGTAATTCCTGAACTTAAAAATCTACAATTTTTCGCATATTTCACCGATATAAGAGAGCTTGTCGCGTATTTTTGCAAGATTGAAGAGAGATATTTTAAATTTTTTCGAAAGATGCAATTATATTTTATGATATTTCAAATCTTGTATTTCTCTTGCTTTACTGTCTTCTGATACATTTGAATACGTAAAATGCAGATGCTTTACTCCATTATTTCGCGGAAATCTAAGCAATTCAGTAATCGCCGGAATTGATTTGACCGAGCGCGATGCACTCGAAGAGCGAATGCAGAAGAATGCAGCTCGCTCGAACCTCGAGCAAAGATCAGGCTTTCTAGGAATTCCATGGGAATCGGGGTCAGAAAGGAGCCAAGCTGATTCTTAAATCGTCAATTCGGGGTCGTGCTCGCAAACTATGTAGTGCTTTAGGATTCGCTCCTATCTCTTTCTCTCCTTGGCTTTTTTCTTTCATTAGCCTGTTATGTTCGTTGTGTCGCCCGATATATATGCCTGTGACAGGAGATAGAAATAGCCACGATCAACGTCGGCTACTCAAAGGTTTTTTCTTGTTTCTAATCATTGTAACAAATTGACGGACGTGTCTTTATGTAAACGTCTTCATGTTAACGACATGATGAAGTTTCAACTTAAAATTCTAGAGAAATTTACTTAAACAATATCTATCTCTTTTATTTACAGGATTGTGATTTACGGCAATTTTACGAATTCCTTTAATTCATGCCAAATTATAGAACGATACCTGTGCTACGTGGCTAGGGTTTCTCTGCGTGTTTAAAGAAAAAAACTTAGGATGTTCTTACTACTCTCTGCAAAAGTCATTCAATCAAGAACAATAACACAGCAGTCGTACGGCGTGGGGAGCTTTGTGAATGGAGAAAACGAGACGCATGGTCAACGATGACAGACGGTCGGTCGGTTGTGAACGACACCTTAGCCGTTGCTCGTCATGTCCCTGCGGCTACGAAAAAGAGAGAGAGGGAGAGAAGAGAAACGGTGATGCTGTAAGTAGAGTTCTATTCCTAGATCCCGGGACACCGGAGAATAACCTCGCACAACGGAGAAACGAGAGGGCTTCCCCAATTCCCAGAACAGCCGCTGTGCTCCGGAGTAACTTTGAGCAACTCGTTCCATCCAGGTTTTCCTTATCCTTCGCCCGTTTTCGATCAACTTTATCCCAGAGCCCTCTATCTTTCGCCCTTGCCATTCGAAAGTAAAATCACCGAAACGAACTTGTTTATACGGCGTCCCACATTTCTGTCTCTCGGATAATGATGACTGGCCTGAATACGTTCTATCGAAGATATTAATAATAAGTTATTCACAGAAAGGTTTAAAGACTTGGAGATAATCCCATATTATCTCAGTTATCTTTCTTTTATCTTTTTTAGCCTGATGTGTAGCTCGCACACAAAACAGATATTGGATATCTATGAATGCTACATAATGATACGTCCCTAAAATGGTGGAACGTGAAATAAAGGTTCGTGAAAGGTACGGACCTACCGCAGTTGATCTGTAATTAATTACGCTCTCAATCACAGATCGACAATAATAGCGATTGTTTCCGACTAGCAATATCACTCGAAAAATATATTAATGATAGCGTACCGTATAATAGCTATATCGATCATCGAACAATCGCGAATTGGAGATCTGATACTTCCGATCGCTTTTCTATTTCGATATTTTCAATCCGTCTGATCTGATCGCCGTCGAGAATACCCACCGCCTAAACAGAGCACGTTTTACGACCGTGAGATAGAGAGAAAACAATAGAAGGTGATTTGACGTACGTGTTAACCTTGCGCGTGTATACATTTCCACGCGGTGGCTAATTTCCATACAATTAAATACCGAACGCCCTCGTGGGTGATGCGACTTGATCGCATCCGGCCGTACATTCGCGATCAGTCCTGAATCGATTTGACAGAAGCCAGGCTGAAATGACCTCATCGAGATCGCACCATGGGACAGTGCTCAATTCCTTCCACGTACACGAGCGATTCTCGTGCTCTGATTTAATCGAGATGCTCCGGTGACTCACGGTATGTTGACTATCAACATTTCAGGAAATGCAGGCATTGTGCTTGAACAATTTTACACAGTAATAGCGTTAACGCCGTTAAGTCCACTTTGATAGATTTTGATTCAATCTCTGAAAGTATATGA